CCCCCTTGGAGGCGGGCATTAACTTTCTCGCCAACTCTGCAAGACGGCAGGCGCCTTCCAGAAGGCTCATTCTTCGGATTGTGACAGGCCCACTTCTTCTCGAGCGGAGGTCAAGGCCGGGTGTTCGCGAGATAAGGTGCTTCGTTAGCCCGGAAAGCGAGTGGCTCCGGTGCCTCACCACCTGCTGCCGTCCGGGCCGGCGCCGTACTCTAGATCCGGGGTTTCAGCAAACGAGCATGCATGCGAACACTTTGTGGGAACACAGCGAAATTCGGCGCTCAATTTTGGGACTTGAACGTTGAGAAGTTCTGCAAAGTACCAAGAGTTGGAAAAAGGCCATGGACTATGTCCATTTGAAAGAATATATATGCCTCGTCGTAAAAGTCGACGATGGATAGTAAGTTTGGTAGGTATACACAAGAAAATATGTGAAAAAGCGCGTGCTATATACAGCCGAGGTGTTTTCTCCATAGAGATTCGGTCCCTCTTAACCTCCAATCATGCTCATTCGCGGCATCGGCCTGCTAGGCTAGAAAGAGCCTAATACACGGCGGGAACGAGCGAGTTGACGTAAATCTCGAGGTTCGCATACCCGCCAGCACCAATCTTCATACCATCTGAGGCATCATTAGGGTTCAGGCCGTTGGCAGTCTCGTAGTCGTCGGGGATTCCATCGCCATCGGTGTCCTTCTTGGCCGTGCCGGCCGCGATGTCGCCCGCGCCCCCCATGTCGGCCTCATCAGAGATGAGCTTGCCCGATTTTCCGTAGGAGAGGAGTTCTTTCACCAAAGCGGCGTCGACGCTGTCACGAGCAATGGAGGCGCCGACCTTGGCTGCGACGTGCGCGACGGCGTCGGCGGCGGAGAGGAGCTTCGCTGGGGCGGGGTAGTCAAAGGCAGTGGTCTGGATAGCCATGTTGGAGTAGCAGGTCGTCGAGACGCAGAGGGCGGCGCCGTTGAGCACGCCGTCCTTGTTGGAGTCGTAAAAGTTATCCTTGACATAGCCGCGGAAGTTGGCGTTGCCACGCGTGAAGGCCGTGACGGAGGTCGAGGGACCAGAGATGAAGTAATTCTGGATGATATTCGCGTAGCTCGCGCCCTCGGAGTCGCCCGCGATATAGCCGCCGCCCCCGCCCCAGTTGTACACAGCATTGTTGATGAAGGAGTTTACGCCCTTTACCTTGGGGTTGCGCGTCTTGTTGTCGATGTAGAGGTTGCGGAAGAGGGAGACGCCGCCCTCGTTCGTCTGCATGAGCCCGCCGCAGGAGTGGGTTTCGAGCCCCTGACCGATGATAGAGTCCGCAATGGTGACGTTGGAGACGTCGCCGTTGATGGAGAAGGTTTCGTCGCGGCCCCAGGAGACAGAGACGTGGTCGAAGATCATGTTTTTGCCGTCGGCGATAGTAATTGCGTCTTTGCCTGAGTCGCCGCCCTTGCCCATGCGGATGCGGATGTAGCGGACGATTCCCTCGTTGGCATTGGACCAGGAGAAGCCGTTGCCGTAGACTGTGATGCCCTGTATTGTTTTTTTGGTCTTAGTTGCTCGTCGTCATGTTGCGTTCAAGTTCGGATTCGGTGGTCACTTACACCGCCAGGAGCTGTCTGTCCTGCAATGTAAACGTTCTTGGACACCACGATCCGGGCGTCAATCTTGATGACGCCGCCTACGTCGAATACGACGATTCGGTTGGGTTGAGAGACGGCATCACGCAGAGATCCCGTGCCGGAGTCACTGTAGCACAGAACAAAAGTCAGAGAGAGTCCTTATTTAGACACCTGGCGCTAAGTGGTTTGAGTACTTACTTGAGGTTGGTAACCTTGTACACCGTTCCAGTCCGACCACCAATCGCATTTCGGCCGAATCCTTCGGCGCCAGGGAAGGCTGAGGGAGCGGCGTCGGCACGTTCGACGACTTTAGCCGAAGTAACGGCAGTACCGGTCCAGTCGGCAGCGGGGAGGGCGGCCGCGCCTTGGTAAAAGATGGCGGCCGCGGCCAACAATGTCGCGGAAGCCTTCATGGTGTGTATTGGATCGTTGGAAGGTGGGAAGGTCGAAGCGAGTGGTGGGGGGCTAAAGTGAGAAAAGGCGAAACGGAAGCGAATGTACCAGACAATCCCGAAACCAAACAAATGGGTTTGGGTAGAATTGAAGCTTGAAAAGAAGCTATAACAAGGGGGGAGCCGAAGGGATGGAATGGATGGAACAGCACGCGTAGCAGGATAGCGACGAGATCTCCAAGGCTTCAAGAGGAGAACCCAGAGCCGAAAGATGGGACGAAAAAAGGAGTCTTGGGTTTAGTTTTGTAGGTTTCGTTTCTTGGTTACTTATGTAGCACTCTTGATGGACAGCTTCTTCGCGGTGATGATCCACCGGGATGGGTGGTGTGGTGGTTGCTCAGGGGTGGTGTCTTGCTTGTCACCACCCATCCCCATGATCCATTCCGCCTTGTCAGTTTACGGGAATTGGAAAGGGGCGTGTATGCACATGGGGGCGGGACGGAGGTCAGCGCGTGTAGGCTGTTGGTGGCATTGAGCCATACATCGGTCGTGGTAGCTGGTTCGGGGATGCTTGGCCGCACGGGAGGTGATGTAAAGAAGCATAGAACTCTTGCACCTGGTGTATTTTTTTCCGTTTCCATTGATCTAGTCCCGGTGATCACCTCCCAGTGTGAAGTCACTTACGGAGGATTCAGACAATTCAATCCATTGAGCACATCTAGCCTGCCTGATTCGGACTACAAGTAGATGTATCTAGAGACGATTGGTGGGAAATGGGCAGAAAGTTTGAGCTCCCAAGGGGGACGGCGGACGGGAGGCGTCCTCCGAAACGGGCAGAAATGGTGGGGAATCCCTGGCGTTTGGGTGATATTGAAGGGGCAGAGGACGGAGCCACTCGGGGCCGGGGTGTGGTGAATTCACGGCGGACGGCGGAGGATTTTTGGTTTCTCAGGTTGATGATGGTGGCCGGAGAGTTGTTTTGCAGTTACATGGTGGACATTAGCTTTGTTTGTGAGATACGAGTGCGCAGAGTGCGAGGCTATTCTTACCTTACAAGGAGGCCATAGGTAAAGTAATACGGTGAAACGGGTTAAAGGGGGAAGCTCTTCGGCCTTGCGCATGTCCCATTCCCATACTACGTACGAATACCCGGTACACGCCTACGGTGGTAAATCTGCAAAGTGAGATGCTGGATTAAGGTTGGATTAGGATGCTACTCTGCATCATTCGGCCGATGACTTTCCCACCTGTCAGACGTCATTCTCGATAGTGTCATACATGATTTGTCCAGGTCTGTGATGCGTCAATCGTGAAAACCGATAGCCTAAAAGAATGAGAGCTGATGACTTGAAGGCCCTTCTCTCGTGACTTGGCTTTCCTTTTTGACAGTTACGATCGGAATCACAGTCTGAAGGGGTAGGTGACCAAATTGATGTGAACACGACACACTTCACCATCATCTCATCGACGCGTTCTTGCGATGAGTAAGACTCGAAGCCATCACCTCAGGCGGCAAGCCTCTAATATCAAGGTTTACGGTTCAGATTACTCCATGAGGGTTCATCACGCCTTACCTGCCATCCGATCTCACTTCAGACGCTGTGGCCAGTGAATGTGGCTCGTTCGAATTTGTGGCTGAGCGAGACTTCCTCATTCCGACAACCTTCGGAATCTCACTCAATCTGGTCAACCTCGACTCGTTTGGTGAGATGTGAGTGAGTGCGGCGATTGGCCTTCTCGCCGAAAAAGCTTTTGTCACCTTGGGCATTTGCTTGGCAAAATCGGACAGCTCGTGCCGGGGGAAGCTTGGGGACCGTCTTGGCCGAGGCGAGTGAAACGGCAGCATGGCAATTGGAGCGCTGAGAAGCGCTAAGAAATCCCCAAAGCAACAGCTGAGAGAATGCTCCGTACTTTGTACCTACGGAAACATAGGTAGGTAGTATTACCGTAGCTAGAGAATGGGAGCGGCGATGTCGGAGGCAGGGGAGACGTTGCGGTCAAAAGATGGCACTGCGGAAAAAAACCTTTTCTTCCCCAAATGCGCTGTGGTCACGAGCCGTTTGCTTGAGTCACGTGGCTGAGAGATGTCGAAGCTCTCGACCGACTCAGTTTCCCTTGCACATACGCACACGCGCGACAGGTTTGGTGTGGTTGGGGTAGTGAGACAGCATAAAGCGGGTGAGGAAGCTGGGGCACGTGTTCTTCAGACTGAGGTATGTCGATCTCTCAGGCACAAGAAACAGGACTCATTGCTCTGCTGAGTAAATTGTTGAGAATTGACTGTGTTGACCGAGGCTACTATTCGATACTCACGAATAAAGGGCTTGAATGAGAGATTGATGCCTCTGCTTGAAAACTTCAGCTAGAGCTGTTATGCGGCTGGACGATGTTGTTCAAGGCAGAAGAACAGCGTCGGACGGATGCAGTGCGAGGTAGCTCTGGGCCTGCCCCTGGGCTTGCCTTCACTAGAGCATTGCAGAGTTGACGTTTGTGACGAGGGTTGCTCAGCGGCTGACAGTGTTCGTTCATCGGAAATTCCTGAACTCATGAGCCAGGTCTTTTCGGGGCGGTTTCCATTGATTACTTTACTTCAAGGTCGGGTAATGGGTAAGCGCAACCTGCCGGTGATAACGGCCTTTGCCGGTCGACCGTTCGCCCCTCGCCTACCCCTCACCTCGGTACTGGACGTGACATGCATCGTAGGCCTCCAAAACTGCCTCTTATTGGAGATATCTGCCAATGCGTACTTTTGTATCCAATTTGATAAGTAAAGATATCAGAGAATCAGAGAATAGAATAATATGAACAACTGAATTATCATTACCGACAAGGTAGGAAGCCCCGAAAACGGAGATGCCGGGCCTGGAGCAATTCGGCAATGGTACCGGTCTTTCTCCGATGTGGCCGATGTACAGCCCCGCCAATCACAGAGTATCCCGCGGCGGGGTGTTTGGATGACTAAACCTAAAGTACCCTCCAGGTAGGCAGCCCCGCTAACCCCTCGATGCGAAGCACCTGCGTCCCGCCTGCACCACCAACTGCGACGAAGGCCGTAACGCCGCACTGCCGCAACGCTGTCCCACGCACCCACGCACTTCCCTCTCCCACTTCCAGTCTCCCACTTCATTCCCTCCCCCCGGGCCTTTGCGCTTGTTCAGAACCAAAACGAGATATTTTACCCCCCCAGAAGAAGGGCAGTCTCAGTGTCATTCTTAACCTTAGTCACGCAATCCCCGTCCGGAACACAGAAACTCCAAAACACACCCCTCAGCAAACAGAAACGTCCTTTTTACCGTCATCCTAAGAAAAACCTCCAAGCTCACTGTTCAATTACTTTGGCCAACGTCAACTACTCAACAAAAGAAAAAAAGTACGCTTTTTATCGCATTTCATACTTGATCTACCATCACTGCATGACGTACTCGGCGCGAGGCTGACCAATTCCACCTCTTCTTTTTCTTCACAGGCAGATCCCGTCATTCTCCGTCCCCCGTCCCCTTCCGCCCGCTGCTGCCTTTGGCCCAGGCACCGACCGAACCGATAGCCACATTCCGAGACACCGAACCCCTCAAGGAACATCACGGAGCCCTCGCCGACCTTCCCTTAGCTCCTCCCCGCCCTATCCATAGTCGATACCCATTCTCTCCTCTCACAGGACCTCGTACCATCCAACCTCGTCATTCGACCGACGACCGACGACAGAGACCCAGCAACCCAAGGGAACAGAACAAAAAGTTGATGAGAGCTGGTTTCCGGCTTTTCTCGCCCCCAGCCTACTACCACCGTCCGCCGACCTCTCCTCTCCGGCGTCTCAGCACGCCGCGCAGCAACAACCCCTTCGCCGCGTCCATCACCGCCGCCGCCCGCCCGCGAACCCTCACAATGGTCGCCACCCCGGAGGAAATCGAGGCCATGGCGCCCCCCGGCTACTCCTTCCCGGAGCACCGCCTCCGCCTCCAGCAATCCGAACCCGACCGCGAGCCCCTCGTCCTCGTCGCTCCCGGCTCCTACAGCCCCATCACCTTCCTTCACCTGCGCATGGCCGTCATGGCCGCAGACTACGTCCGCTACAACACAAACTTTGAGCTCATCGGCTCCTACCTCTCCCCCGTCTCCGACGCCTACAAGAAGCGCGGCCTCGCACCCGCCTGCCACCGCCGCCGCATGTGCGAGATCGCCGCCGAGCAGACCTCACGCTTCCTGATGGTCGATCCCTGGGAGGCCGAGCAAACGGCCTACGTGCCCACCGCCCTCGTCCTCGACCACTTTGAGCACGAGATCAACGTCAAGCGCGGCGGCTGCAACGGTAAGCGCGTGCGTATTGCCGTGCTTGCTGGCGCCGACCTGATTAACACGATGAGTCAGCCTGGCGTCTGGTCACCTTCTGATTTGAGACATATCCTGGGTGACTTTGGTGCTTTCGTGCTCGAGAGGGCTGGTGTAAATATTGATGAGGCACTCGGTAATCTTAAGGAGTACGAGGACCAGATCTACTACATTCCGCAAGTCGTTCCCAACGATGTTTCGAGTACCAAGATTCGATTGTTGCTGAGGAGGAATATGAGCATTGACTACGTGAGTTTTCCAAAAAAAAAAAAAAAAAAAAAAGTTATTGCAAACGTCTTGAGGTAACCAACGGCTAACATGTATCTAGCTCATCCCTGCTGAAGTCATCAAGTACATTGACGAGCACGGCCTCTACAACGAAGACGACACAGCAACAAACGAGAAGGGAAAGGAGAAAGAGGTACAATAAGAATGATTTTCGATTTCTTCTAAAATGCTGAACGAAAGGTATTTCGGACAAACGCCCTGTGGGAGTTTGTAGAAAAGAAAAAAGAGGAGAGAGCGAGACAGATGCGAGAAGCGAGGGACATGATCCCAGATCCAGATGAGACAGAAAGATCAAAGAGCAAAGAGGAGGAGAAGCAGGGGAACAACTGGCGTGGTTATCAGCGTTTGGGTTTTATGAGACGACGGCACAAAGTCTATCCATTTCATTAACTGTTTTATTTTTTTTCTGGGTTTAATTAGGTGCATAGGGCGGGCTTTGTTATGAAGAGCGAGATATCTATATCTTGAACTACAGGGACTTCTCCCATTGAACAACCAAAGAGTCTGCATCCCCTCGTCGGGGCCGTTAAAGCCTATTTCGTTTTCAACCAGGTCGTTGAACATCGAAGTCTTGAATCATGATATTTAGTATCCGGCGGTCAGAATCCTGAGGAAGGGTGTTCACAGCAGGGCGGGCTTGCACAAGACCGCCGGAAGTAGACAACAGCGCTACGTTTCCAGACATAAGCGACTGATCAGGAGCCTCGATAGGTGGCTGCCATGGTTCGATGGGTATGCCAGGCTTAGAATTGGTGTTCAACAGCCAAAGTGGCACTTCAAGGGTGCTATCTACTGTCTACCTGAACCAGGCCACCCTCTCCACAACCGCTGACAAAGTCGCCATGCCCTTGAGACGAGGCCCAATGTACGCATCCATATACATCGTCTTTCTTTTCTGGCCTCTGCTATCATGTGATGGCCAGTTGTCTCGAAACTGCCTATTCTGCGATTCGGATCGCGCTCTCATCGTCGAGATACCTGACAATATCTGTGATGGGAGGCCAGTGGCTGAGACTCCCAAGATTATAAGGCTTCCAGTCAAAGTTTGCGTTTATCTTCAGGTTCCTCCCCCCAGGATCCATATGGACGGAAATCTGGAAGCGGCAATGCCGCGTAATGGGATTGTTGCCAGCACCTGTGGTGATGATGTCGAGAAGCATAAAGTCACCCCGTCTTAGCTCGAATTCAGAAGCAAAGTACCTAAGCGTGAGCTCATGAACACAGATATTCCCGATTATGGGCAGCTGACAGAGGGTGCAAGTGCCGTCCTCGGTCGTGAGGCGGCAGTCCATGCCGTCGTCGGAAGCGTAGCGAGGCTTGCAGACTACATGCATTCTCGAACCGGGGCAATGACTTCAAGAAGTTTTAGGAGCATGTCTTACAGAGTCTTGTTGTTCCGGTAAAGATGGTCAGCGACGATGCTCTAGCCTTTTGGCGATGTGACTGCGTTTCTGGCAGACCAATGCTATCACTTTGCCGATATTCTTGAAGTTCTCGTCAATGTGGGGTGGGATGCCTTTTCCAGAGCCAAAACTCTCCAGGGATTCTCTCTGCCCTTCATTTTGTTCTGGAAGATAGACTGCATGTGGTCGGCAACATATCTTGGGAATAATTGATGCTGGCGGTTCGCCGGAGGAAAGCCTTGTCATGTTGATAGATCAGGAACTTGATCTGCAGGTGCCCTCCAGGTGGTGACTAAAGCCGCTATAACGGAGGTCATCCAGGAGGCTGGTGACTCTAGGGAAGTCGCGGCCATTGCTCCTTACGAGCACGCCCGGGTCGGAGATGTCAACAAGGACATTCTTCTTGCTGTTTCTGTCCTTGTAGCCCAGCGTCACACGGGCGGACTCGGTGCCACCGTCAGTGGCGAGTTTTTCAAGTAGCTATCTTAGCTTCAGATAATCCTAAATTGGGATGGAAGAGGATACCGATCCCAGCTTCAATCTGCGGAACATTGGACCATTTCTGACAGGCCCAGGATAGACGCCTGACTGAATAGGGAGACCGATCATGGCCATGATTTAGCAGATCGACAACGAACAGATGATAGTCCACAAAGCCTGGGACCCTCCTGAGAAGGCAGACAAAGGCGTTGCCGCGTTGGTGATAGAGAAAGGGCGAATTTCGGCGTCGTCTATAGGCTACGTTAATAGAAGGAACTACTGCATCACAGGAAGAGAAATCGAAGGCCTCAGAAGACTTTCTCGGAAGAAACAAAGAGCCTCTCTTCGGCAAAAATCAAGGGTTTACAGTCCCCTCTTATTGGTGACGGTTTCAGTTTGTTTGGAAAGTTGCAAAGAACGTGATGGAAAGCTAGGAAGGTCAAAGAGAGGAATGGTAGAAACCCTCCTCAGACGCTTTCTTTTAGATGGGGAGTCTCCGTTGAATTTGGTGCACGTCACCAAGGGAGCACTCGGAAGATGGCAAGACGAGGGCATTCGACGTCAAGGGCTTGCGACTATGTGTCCGTGACCGGTGAAGTCTTCGAAGAAAAGTGAAGAAGGGGAATATATCCGCTCACATTAATTTCACTCTCATATTCAGTACAATACAACACTGTAAGGGATATTCGTGAAGTAGCTAGGGTAATTCGAAGTAGTTAAAATTGAGTGTGTTGAATAAAACGTCCATTAGACGTACTGGACAAACCCTTAATTTCCCCGGTGAGATTCTTGCGACACTTGTAGATTTTCACTATCGGGAAGCTTTAGAAGAGTGATTTAGATTCTCTTGTATACATAACTTATCCTAAGTGACTGCGATTATACCGAGACATTCATTCTCTTCGAACCAGGTTCACGGCGGATACGGGAAGTAGACCTTGAACAACTCGAAGCAACAACCCCATTCCCAAGTCACTTCAAACATCATGAAAACTGAATTGCATATGCATCTGAAGAATTTAAGTAACATTTGACTTTGAGCGTAGTCTGATGACCCATCTTGCCCTCTCTGTATCTTAGGAGCCAAACACCGGAGACCGATAACAGCTTTACGATGACTACACCGTAATTGCAAGTTGCGCAAACTCGCAACTCTGAACCTATAAACAGAAGCCCTCTTCGCTGGAGTTTACGACTCTACAGAGCTATACTAATAAACTCTGCAGGTTGTGCAGCTCTAGAAATTCAAGACCATTTGAATCATGAACACTTCAGGAAGCTCTGAGCAGAGGAACATTTGCTCGAAAATATGACAGAACGGACATTAAGAGACGGGCTTAAAGCATTTTCTTCAAACTGTTAGCCTAAAAATAGCGCTGAATAAGTATATACCTATTGAAAATTGGTCACAGGGTTCAGGAGACGATCATGTTGTGGTCACTCAATTGGATTGAAAGCGCTTATGGATGGGCTGCTACGACTTTTAAGCCCAAGTGAGTTAATTCCAGACACAACCCCTCCACGAGAGAGCCCGAGTTATTCAAAAAGTTTACACAAACCTGAAAACATTCAACTTTCCATAACCGAGTCTCTTTGCATTGGAGAATCTCTTCGCATAATGTTGGCAACTTTTGAGACCGAATGCGAAGATGATATCTATGTATTTTCAAAGCCAGAAACGACGCAACATCAGGATATTGGAAAATTGATTCGAAACATGATTCTAATCCAGTGATCATATCGTTCGTTAAAGCCACATTTTACACATACCGCGCCAGAACATAAATTCATAGGTAATCTTTTGGGTTCAGCCAAGGCATCTCACATGGCTTTCCAGGGTCCAGTATGAGGATGCTCGCTAGTTTTCGTTCTCGTCATCATCAACGTCCAAACGCTCGTAACTCCCAAACCAGTAAGCGTCAAAAACACACCAAACCCAACACGCAATATCTCCAACTCGGCCCCAAACCTAGAAACCACATGCAAACGCAAGACCGGGGGGGAAACATCGAGCCAATGATACTTCTACTACCCACTTTCTCAAGAAACTTAGGAGTTGAGTCCGCCGGGCAGGATTGACTTTCCACTGGACCCCTTCACACAGAATCGTACATCCAGTGAATATCCCCAGGAGCCTGCCAAGCGGACAACACGCACATTTGCACATGCAAGACGCGGGCCCAAAGTGTAATACCCCAAAAGCGTCAGCATGACCCCTCTGACTACCTTACACTAAAAATGCTCATCCTCTTGTTGGTTCCCAGCATCGAACCCTTGGGACCCCTTTCTCCAAACCATGAGGAGGGAGTGAAGTCGTCATAACATGATACCGCTACAAACATTCAACCTTTCCAATCATCCTTCCAAGAAATCCCACTCATCTCACCCTGCTCTGTTGGATGAGGGATAGCGTATAATGTTCTCCTTTCATTCTGACTGAACGTGGGCAGTCTTGATCTCATCTCAGCGTGGGAAAACTCAACCACGAAACTCACTCCAGTCACTCAAACCATCAAGTCTGAAGTCCCGCGCGCTTATCCCACATTTTCATGACGCGTATCACCGTGGAAGCAAACTAAACCTAGATGCCGATACTAACACCAACCAGCCAACCAAGCGGAAAGGAAAGCCTATCTGAAGCCATTCATCCCACTAAGGACAATCCCTCCAGAAAATGCAGGCGCGATATACGTAGACAAGATAAAATCCACATCACTTGTTTGAAGGGGCTTCACTCGCGACGCCTTCGACGCCGTTGACGCTTCTCCAGAGGTAGGAAGATCGTTGCCTACAACAATCGTAAAGTTTCCCACTGCATACGGCGGGGATGGGGGGAGTCAACGTGGAAACCCCAACATCCAACTCTCATGGAACCACCTGGATGAAATCCTCCGAAGAGAGATTACATAGAAACAGTCATGGGGAAAAGCTGCTAAATTGCTTGTCTTCCATTTACCCACCTGGGCCACCACCAGCTTTGGGCTCAGACTGTCAGCTGAGTCAAGCTTTTAAAAACCCATTGGGCCACTACCACGTTGGAAGACCGTTCAACGTTGCACTTGCGACTCGATACCAGGTTTTCCCATTTGAAAAACCGGAAAGACCCGTACGGGTTGGCTCGTTACGATTTGCAAAACTTACAATAAACTTCTGACTCTCCACAACATATCGATGTACGGCTGTTCAAATCTCGTATGCCGGAGCCCGGAATTGGAATTCTGGCTTGCAGATACTCTCCCGGTGAGTATTACCTGGGAAAATCCACGTGGGGTCATGAGATTGCCATTGAAGAGATTTCCAAGTGTCTTTGTTCTCCATGGTTACGCGGGGCCGACGCGAATCTCACGCAAACGCCAGAATTTCAACGCGTTCCTTTTTGGGGATCCAGTTCTTTTTGGCCGAATAATTGGATCGTCATCTGCAGTCTGTACTCTGTTCCAACAGGAATTACTGGGGTCCGGTTCAGCAAAATCCCGGACAGCTTCCGAGCAAAGTAAATGTCTGCACGTGAGATACTTCGTACAGATAATGCCTTACCGCGCCCGACCGCCGAGAAAGGATCCAAGGCGGCGAATGCTTTTGGGTAGGGAGGCGGCGAGCAAATACACGTTGTTGGTGGGGTGGCACAGAGGAGCTGGTCACGATCCAAGGTTGACGTTGCGACGTCCCTTGGCGGGCAGAAACGCTTAACTTACTTACTCACCTCGTGGCAACGGAAGAAAAAAGAGGCGAAAGCAGAAAAAGCCAAACCGATGTGCACCAAGGCGGCGCCACGGCACCGGATGGCAAAAGGCAGGGTGACGACGGTAACACGAGAAACGGGGACTCGCGAAATCGCCGTTGCCTTCCTCCGCCGCCGCCGCTGGGCAGCAACTCTGTGACCAACTCGCAAACTGGGCTTTGGTCCCGACGGGCGGGGAAAAAGAACCAAGAAACAAGGGAGATTGCGCGTCTACGGTCATAGGAAGTCGCCGTCCGGTCTCATCTGACCCGTTCCGTGGCCCCGGCATTCATGCCGTCCGGGACGCGCTTGCATGTGGTTGTGTGGAATGTGATGTACGGTGAACCCAATCCCAACAAGTACGGCGGAGAAGAACCAGGAACCACGAATGTCTAATCAGGACGACATTGTGCCCGAGAGTCGCTAGGGAGAAGGAGGGACAATAGATACAACCGTGCGATAAGGTGACCTGCGCGGGAGACGAAACATGGCACAAACGATAATGCAGGGCAGCCGCTGACACTGGTGGGCGGCAAGAGGAACGGCTATGATCCTACTACTATGTTGCCTGTGGTCCGAATTTCGTAGGATATCCCGGGTCTCTCCCCGGCTTGGGGGCGGAGCAAAACGGTTTATGCGGTGTTAGTCTGGTAGTCGAACATGCGAATGAAAGGGGATTTGAAGCCTTTCTGTCGAATGATCGTGGACAAGTAGGACAGGAGACATCCTGTTCCTGATATGGCCTGCTGATGAGATGTGAGTAGGAATCATGATAGGGCATCGCAGTGCGAGCGACGTTGTAGTCTTGCAACGATATCCTCCCGGAACCTGACCCGTCCACGCAGACATGGAAGAGTGCAGCACTGACAACCACCCCTTGGATGTTACTTTTGGATGACGATCCCCATACCGGGAATGCCATTGGCCGGAGACGATCGGCTGAGTCGGGCTTATTGTGGGATCGTCGCTTTGCTGTTCTGAGTGCCGGGCGTCGCTCTTCATGCTGGGCACCGCCGATCACTTGTTCCCATTGCCTCGTTCGGAATCTGAGGAGGGGGAATGGGGTAGACTGATTTGGCAAAAGGCTGTAGAGGAAAAGGGAAAGGGTCCTTTCCAGGTGACAGGGGAGACGGAAACATTGTGAGAAACCGGTTGCGCTAACACTGTACGAGCCTAGAAGATGGTGCAATTTTTTGGGGACCTTGGGCTTTTGCAAAATGCCATGCTCGCATTCCTGCTTTTTGGAGCCCTCGCCAGGTGTCTTGCCGGAAGCTGATATGGGTACGTCCCTGTTGTTGACGTTTTCCCATTCGGGGAAGATGTTAGTTTCGGACGCCGAACACAAGAGAGATGTTGGTCTGTTGCCGGGGAATGCTAGGCGAAGTTGCAACACGGCAGGCTGTGCGTTGAGTAAAAAAACCGGCTGCTTGGCCGCGTTTGTTGGAATATGTAGTCAGGAGTGGACAGATGGCGATAACTCAAAGGTTGTGCGATGGAGAAGTGGATTTGGGGATTTCGCAAGTGGAACCTTTGTGTTCATCCTACCATTGGACATTGGCAGCCCGCCAACACACGATGCTATTGCTGCGAAATTCAGACCGCCTGACGATATGCACGGGACGCAGTGATGATCCGTCCGTTCACCATGTCCGGTGTACATGAACGTTTGGACCTGAGTATCGCACAACAATGGAGAACGGGGGGCCGGCGATGATGATCTGCTCCTCAACAGCGGTGGCAGCTTAGCGAATAGAGATCTGCTCTTAGCTTCTGCCAACGGTGGACATCAACCGCAAGCCTGAGAGAAGCGTGTTTCTGGTGGTACAATTGTGCGAGTCCTATCCCAGACGGCCAGTACCAAGCAAAGGCCTTCACTTAGCCCCCGCTGAAATGTTGAACCATGTGAGAGAAACGTCTGAATACATCCATTCGCACGCAGGTTTGAGAGAGGATCGTCTGTTGCTCTGTTGCGGGGAATTGACGAGGGCTCCCATGCCTATATTTCCGTGCTTGCGAATGCCTCTGATACCCATAGCATATGTGCAGATATTGCGAGTCTAATGCTCTGCTTCCTCTCCCCAAGAACGTTGACGTGTAGTTGAGGTGGTGAAACGGCGCCGGGGGGCAGCATGAAAAGGAATCGGGATCCACGGCAACACGCTTGAAGAGGTCAGAGACGTCGTGTACTGCGTTAGTGTTGGATGACGGCGACGGTTGGGCAGAAGGATTGACTCGTGATTTGCCGGAGCGGTGCAGGGAGACAGGCTGCCAGTTGCTGCATGGCGAGAGGCAAAATTGAGGGAACGAAGCAGAAGATCTGAGAGGCTGATGAAATGAAAGACAAGTTTCGGCCGCTGATCCGATGACATCACTCGGCCGATGCCAGGGGCTCCGGGGTACCTTGTCCGAGGCCCCTCTCGGTGTGTCAGGTTTCCTGGTGGTGGTGGTGGTGGTGGAGGAGAGTTGAGAGTTCACAGCCTGTAAGATGCAACGGTTGTGGCGCCGGGATCATTCTTGGAGGCGCAGACGGGCAGAATGCCAGAATCCATGGAGAGCAGTCGTTCGGGTGTGTTCTCGGCCGCCAGCAACCGCGTCATAGCTAAGGCAAACTACGTGAGGGGCACGAAGTACTCCGTATTCGCTGAGGGCAATCACCAATCTTTGTGTTTGAGGGCGAGAAAAAGAGTAAATATCCGTACACACGAGGTTCGTCGATAGTTTGGGAACAAAAATCAAAACATCCCTGAGGCCGACCTATCGTACTGTAAGGTATCAGTAGACTCTAGAGAGCAGGGAGGAGGGCTAGTGTATCAGGGAGAAAGGTGGCCCTGGAAAGAAGCGTGGAAGTGTAGCGAGAGAGAAGAAAAAGCCATCCGAGATCTCAGCCTGTCTCTCCAGGGTCCCTGCATCGGAGACACACAAAGGATATGCTTCTTTCTCGGTTTCTCGCTCAGCTATTGGGTTTTCCATTGCGGTCAGCGCATGCAAGTACAGCAAGCAAACAGGCGAGCAAGCGGCTTGCTCTCTCGGTTACCTGGCCGGTGAGCCTTTCCTTACTAGTTCTGCCTTGTGCTGCCTTCTTTGTCCCTGCCTTACGCAGTGCTCCCCGTCTCTTGTTCCCAGTCGGACCCGTGGCGCTGGCCAAACTAATGTAGTGTGCAAGCGCAACAACTAGTATACATCCTGTACAACGTCGCGCTGAATATTACCTGGGTCGGGCGGTTGCTCTAATGTAGGAACGGGGCCGAGAGGGTCCTGGGTGGGTGGGGAGTCACTGGACGACTGAGTTTTGGGGGCCTGCCCTAGTGGGAGGGAAAGATCCTGTCATCTTTTGCGGACGGCGGTCGGTATCCCGAGATGTGACAGAGTGGTAGGTATCGTGGGTTTGACCGCTGGCGGCTGCTACTGTTGGTCAATGTCTTGAAATAAGCATCGTGGATGCCCAAAGCCGCGCAGTTTCGGCTTCCGGCTCTGCGAGGCGTGGTGACGTGAGGTTCGAACTGAGCAGAGTGTCGCTGGTGAAGAAAAGAAATTCTCTCTTCGCCATGTCATTGTCACGACATGTCGGTCCTAGGGCGAGTTTCTCATCGTCTTGGCCGCGTGACACGAGGAACAGGAGGATCAGGATTGGGAACAAACGGTTGAGAGCGGGACGGTTGCTCCATCGCGAGAAGGAAAAAGGGACCGTAAACCCCCACCTCGATCGCGACCTGCCGCCCTCGAATGCCCCATACGACGCGTAGCGTGGTGTATCCATATATATTCCATATACTTTGTACGGATGCGGTTGTTTAGCGTGGCTACTTTTGATGCTTTTGAGTCTTGCTGAGTGAGCAGTTGAGCAGCTACGCCTCTTCGACCGGGCAGGCAGGCAGGCGGTCGTATGGGGATTGGAATCCGCTCTTGTACTGGAGACGAATTCATGATAGTAACCGCCTGTCTCCTGGCAGTATCCGTAGGTAAAGACTCAAGAGTGGTAAGACAGGGACGGGTGGGGGGCGCCAATGCCGCCAAACCGGCTGCTGTCTGCCGGGAGTGGACGGCGGAGAGGTTCGCGCGCCAGTGAGAAGCCAGGCGTTGAGCCTGGTAGACAAATCTGAATTTATGCTCGGATTGTGGATGGATGGATACGTCTCCGTAGCCCAACTCTGAGCTCTCGAGTTCCTGTCGTGGATGGATGGTGGAGATCGGGGGTGTCAGTCTTGACCTTGGACGGTATGGCGTCACAGACGCTGATCAGTCAATTTGGGCTCTGGCAGGGGTTCAACGGCGGAGAGTCCCAAGTATCCCTACTTGTGTTGACAGGCAGAAATGCGTACTCTGTGCAGGTTCCGTACGTACTCTGTAACTATACTGCTGCTATCCCTACCTACTCTGTACCCATCTGCCTAAGGTAGGTATTCATGGGTACTTGGTCCCACAAGACGCGGGCGGCGGGTGAAGAGACACAGCGTAGGCGCAGGCGCAGACACAAAGGGTAGGTTTCGTTTGACTTCTACGTAGTAAACAGCATTCGCTCTGCTCGCTTCCATGTAGTGTAGTGTATTGTTGGGTTGGTTGGTTGGTTGGTTGGTTGGTTGAGTAGAGATCCAGGGTCCTTGTGGGAGGTCGGGGAAGACAAATCCGGATACTTAAGCAATATCTCTGCTACCCATTCAGACAGGTGAGTACGAAGTAGCAAGTGTGAGTGTGGAAGTTTTGATAGGTATTTGCCAATGAATCGGTGAGGTATCTTGGCATGCAATTACTTTTGAGATTTCTTTTGGATCGCTCAGCAGTGGTGGCGGTGGTGGTGGTGGGTGGGTGGGTAACTACTTGCACGATGTCGAGGAGAAGAGAAGCAGGAGCAAGCAGTAATGTAGGGGATCGGCGGCATTAACGGTTGCACAGCAGTGCTACGACTCAAGGAATCAAGAGGGAGTGATGGATGCGAGGGGTGGCATTTGTGAAATGGATGATTTCGGCCAGCACCAAAGACTGTGTAGGTGGGGGCTTTCCAGTCCACGACTGTGATAAAATTATATGGGAAAAGCTGTACGGATAGTCTCAAGCTTTAACAATCTCAGCGAGACGCATGTTAATACCTTATTGCTATGGATTGCTACATGGAGCGACGTCGGCAAGACTCCGGGCCACCTGCCTTAGTGCCTTGTCACACCCTACTAGTGTAAGAAGGTGGAATTGCAAATCGCAGGCAGGCGGCAGTCGGCAAGTACAGACCAGACTATGAGTACAGGCTACAGAATCGTCAAAAATCGTGAAAGAGGCGATAGGACCGTAGGAGAGAAAGGCCCGGAGGGCGAGAGTACGATGAATCAGGTTGAAAGGAGAGGCCCGAGGATGAGGACGGGATGAGAGGAACGGAAGCTCGTCCGGTGTGGCACGGTGACACCCAGCAAATTGCAATTAGCGACGGGACGTGGAAGTGGACGTGGAAGCCGGAGAGAAAGCAACGGAAGGGAGACCGTCTTTTGAGAGTACGTATCTACGTATCTAGGTAGGGGATCATGTGCCTTTGGATACCTACTGTGTACGTACCGGGGTGCGGTGCTGACATGCCCGATCAACGTCACAATGTGTGGGGAAGGCCAGCATGACATGTGGGCAGAAAAGGAATGCCTCAGGTCAAGTGAACAAGTACTAAGATACGTAGAGGATAGCACCAATTTGCAAGCGCAGGGTCAGGGACACCGAATTAAAGGACCCGCCGGTGCGGTACGGGGATACTTTCCTTGGATCCAATGGAAAGACCCGAGGTACGTACACCAAGCCTTCGGTGGAAGCGGTAGCCTCCCTGTTAGGTAGGTTTTTTTTTCCCACGACAGGTCTTTCCCTGCTTTCCCCATCTTTTGCGCGGTTCCTTGCCTCATCGTTGCCCCCCAAATGCTTCCTCCCACCTTCCATTCTAACCGGGCACTTGGACGCTTTTAGCAACAACCTACCCTACCTGCTTATGTACATAGTTACCTAGGTAAGGTACTTGGAAGTTGGGCGTCCCCCCCCCCCAGGTTGAACTTCCGAAGGTGCCCTGACGGACAAGTCCAGTGACCAGAGCTTTTTGGTACGTACCGCCCTTCCCCTCTCTGGCATCCGTCCGTCTCATCAGTCTCATCCGTCTCAGGCGCAAACAATCACAAACACGCCGTCGCCCTCTGAGGTTGTCGTCAATCTCGAATTCCAACCAGGCCGTGCCACCCCGCTGCGCACCAATACACTATTCCTGCTCAGCGTGTTTCTGCTTCCATAGGTGCATGGCTGGTTCAAGGGGTCAAGCACTATCTATCTGTTTTCGACCTGAGTCTCTATTCAGCACATCAGACTACAAAGTCCAAGACCACGGTTGCCGCCATCTTTCCTGCTTGCATACCTTGGTAGAGAGCAGATTGCTACCACAGCCGCAGCATCACGAACTGGATCACGGTCAAGATCTACCCTAGCCACTACTGCACTCAGTGGCGCCGGAGCAGCGTGGCAGCTTGCTCTCACCATCTCCGATTCGACCCTCCCGTAATTCCACTGGACTCGGTGGTCAATCAAACATCACACGGGAGCCGTCCATGCTGTCGCTCCCTCACCACACACCAGGAAACGTTAGTATGAACCCATACATGCCATAGCATTCCATTCCTACATGGCTACGCACATCCCACACCGTGCTTGGATACAGGAACACAGCACCACGGCCCCCAGCTGCATCTCCCAACTCTCAGCTTCCTAGCCACTACCTAGGTACCTAGCTGACTACATTGGCATAGTGGCATGCTCAAGTTCTTTGCAGCTTGCACCGCACCGACCAGGCGAACCAGCGAATACCCTAAAGAATGCCATCCAAGACGCACGGCATGACAGAGACACCCAGCTACGCAACACCTCTCGAGTCTGGAAAAGCAAGCAAACCCAGTCCCAGTTGAAGCTCCCTCAGGAGAAAGAGTTGCAGAGGCAAAACAACCCACGACACACGCACGGCGACAAAACGGTTGCGATAACATCATCCTTCTCCACACCGCTTCAGCCTGACCGGGCCACTCTACGCATAACAACCAGTTACAACGGACGACTGCCATTTCGACCTTTGCTGTCCCGCCCCTGTCGTTGTGTTGCGGTCCCTCTCCATGACCCCTGTCGTGTCCATCGTCACTCTCCACCACCCCCAGCAGCACTCAAGGCGCCCTCGCTCGCACACCACGCTCCCAAGCCCCCCCCCCCTCCCCGTCCTGCCTTTGCCGCAGACTCAATCCTCGACTCCTACGACATTAGGTGGGAGTCTGGCAAGGGCCCCAATCCGATCGACACCACAAAGCCTCCAAAGTCCAACCAAAAGGGCCAAAGAGGGCATCCCATTTGCAACTGGTCCTGAGTACCGCAGATCGCGACAACTTGGCCGCCTGTAAACGTCAACGCCTGAAGCAAACCCCACCCAAGCCAAGCCAGCTATTTGCGACCCTTTCACCTTCTCTCTCTGCCATTCCCACAGATCGCATTCCATTGTATGTACAGCTACCACGGCCGTCGACGCAACCGCATGCTACCGAGTACATACATACATACATACCTGCTGTCGCTCATCACCTCCGTGCTCTCGCTCGGTCTTCCCTACCGTCGCAATCCCGTATTACTTCCACGACATTCCCACTCTCAGTCACCTATTCTTTGGGTCTCTATTCTCTTTTCTCCCGCTTCCCAAATTCCGATTGCCATACGACCCCCACCTTAAGGAGCAGCAAAAGAGAAGTAATCGGCGCGAGAGACGATTTCTTCCAAGAACCCATACATATCCCTCCCCCCAAAGACAAAGTGACAAGGAAGAGGGAAAATTGAGCGCAGAAAAAAAAAAAAAAAAAGGCAGAGGCTGCCCAAAAACCCACCCACTACCCACGAGACCTCGTCTGCCCCCCATTCATAGTCATACACTACCCGTTGCGGCCCACCGCGCCTTTTTTTCTTCCTCTTCCCCTTTGCTCGACACTCGGCTTGGTCCTTTTCATCTGCTCTTCTTCCCTCCTCCCGCCGCCGGCTCTGTCCCTGCCTACGAGACCGGTAGGACCCTACTTGCTTCCGGAATACAACCACCAATACCCCTACATTCCATAATAATCCACGCCCCATATACACCACCACCCGCCGCCATCACCGCTACTAATACCACCTTTGCAACCACCTGACTCTTCCGCCGCCATCCTCGACTCCTCCGCCACTGTGAGCCTGCTCCAGAGAGCCTTGACCCTGCTTTACAAGGTGGCAAGACCCCGTTTCTCAACTCGAGCCTGGTGACGGAGTTGCATCCATTCAAAACCATATTTGCCTTTTGAGCCGCCCTCTTCGCTCTTTAGCAACCAACTTTTCCTGCCCCTTGGCAATCGTATCAATCCATACTCTCCCCTGAACGCCAGCAATTTCGCGCAGTACTCTCACCGACAATCACCACTTCACAGTACAACCTTAGCAGCCAACTCGACAACGTTGTCAACATGGACAACGAGCACCAAGCACAGTTCAGCGAACAATCGCATCTCCCTCCTCACATCGAGCGGTCCCAATCAAGCTCATCTTCTTCTTCTGTCGATCACGACCACGACGAGCACCACATTCACCAGCCAACTCCTATCCGACCTCGGTTGCCCAGCAGAAAGAGCAGCGGGCCGTTGGTGGTACCCCGGGACAGCTCGGCAGTGGGTCCAATAGATGCAGAGTTTGGACCCGACGACGTGAGGGCTATGAGCCCACGGAGGACCAGTGAAGACATCGAAGCACTAGGAAGGGAAGCGCGAGAAGAGCTCAAGAGGTAAACGAAACCCTCTGCCACTTCAAGACGCGCCAATGACTAATAGCACCCTTCTCTACAGACACGCAAAGGCTTTGCAAGACTCGCTCTTGACCATCTTCAACCGCATCGAGGCCGTCAGAGAAGAACATGACAAGCTCGATAACAACAACAAGTTCCTCCAAAAATACATTGGCGACCTCATGACCACGAGTAAAATCACTGCCGCGCCAACCAAGGGCAAGAAATAAGGCATCTACGCACACTTTCAGATTGAAGAGGTGGACACAGATTGCATCACATCACCCCCGTTGAATCGCTCCTTACCATCGTCGACTTGCACTCGGACCGCGACAGCTTGATCACCTATGAAGGGGGACGCGCATCCTGACGCCATTCAGGAACAATCACACCAAGGAAGTGCTCTTCGAGCACCCACTACACTGCCTAATCGGACACCGCCCGCGAAGGGCATGATACCCCCTTGTGGCCGAAATGGCCTATAGCGTTATACTGAACTCGTTTATGGCTTTACGGCACGGACACGGTATTTGGAGAGGAAAAAAAAACTTGCATCGGCTCGCAACTTGTACACTAACGAACATCATCATCATTGGGGGTTTCGACAAACCGTCAAATGACATATTGGCATAGGACAGCATCAGGCGTTTCGGGCTTTTGGTATAGGGCTACGGCCTTGGGGATTACGTTCGCATATTGTTTATATACCTCGCCATAGGCGGGGAGAGGTATCGACCTCGAATTGACCAAAGGAATTTCTTTCATTCATCCTCATCGACCTAGCTTCCGCAATCACGATCGGGCCATCTAGTGACAGCTCCCAACCTCGACCACTTTTTGTAAGATTGACGATACCCAATAGTTTTCAGTCCCGAATGAGTCGCGGCCTGCGAAATTTGTGGTGGTTGACCTGCGCCACACGAAGATCCCTCACCAACTTCCGAACATAACGAAAGCACGCCGACGTCATTTGCCACCGATTACCGATGTCGCCCACAACACCCACCATCGATTCGTATTACGGGACAATTCGTATGACGGGAAAAAGTTGCACACGAGGAAAATATTCTGTCGAGTAAGGCTCGATTCCAGGCATTTCTATCGACAATTTGTCTAAAACGCTCTGGGACGCATTGAAGGGGGGTGGAAGGGTTTACGACATTCTACACGAGGCCATACAAGCGCGACGTTGTGCGATGGTCGTTACACGAAGCTCCCACCGAGCTTATGGATCGGCATAGAGCTAGTCGGAGACGGTTGTAGAGAAGGGGACCTGATAGCAGAGGATGAGCCTACGTCAGACGTCGGAGAGAGGGTGCTCGAAGAAGGCTGCCATTGGCGGTTCTAGCCGCCGCAAGACCGAATGAGCATCGAGATGAGGTAGAGGGGGTTTTCATATGTGTGTTGGTGGGATGATGGCAGCTGACGATATGTGAGGAATGATCGGCCTTACGAGAGCGGCGATCGGCTCCGGGACGCGGGTTCGTGGAGGAGGCTCGCGGTGTCTGCTGCTTGGAAGTATTAGATTCTTGATGTGGGGCGCAAGAACTGGACTTGGGAGGGCTTGTCAGCTCAACGAATTCTGAATGAGATTTGGGTCAGTTGGGACGATGAGCTGACGCCAAATGAGTGCACGGGAGTTGATAGGTGGTTACAGGCAAAATCAATATTAACAAAATGCAGTTTGAGATAGGCTAGCACGCTAAGCAGTCGTTCATCGTCCATAAGCTGAGAAGAACCCAGTATACCTGCCTGTTCATGGCAAATTATTAACATCAATCTCCTGCTACTTAACACACATTCTATTGCTGCCCTTTCGACGATCAAAAGCGCTATGTAAGGTAGCTTGCGATATTCATCCAGATGGGCCTACGTAGAAATAGCTAGGAGCATTTACAGTATCTCGCTAAGGAGGCCCGCCTGCTAGATAGCACGAGGCTAGATTGATGTTGGCATTGTGCAAACGGGATGGAAAACTTTCTATCAAGGTATTTACTCGTTGAAAGATATTTGGCGTGGAGGAACGAAAGGCGTTTCAAAATCATTCTATGAACTACCTACTGGATGGTATCACTACATCCGAGTGCAGCCAATCTCCTCGTCCTGCTCTATTTTGAGATTGTTTATAGGTAATAGATATAAGGGAAATACGATCAGATTAGTAGTCAATTTATTATTGCCCCTACAAAAGCCCGCATGTTCATATTGAAGCCATCTTAGCAGTTAACAGAGTGGCCAGCTTGCCGGCCATAGCCTGTAGGATACAAAGGCCATTGGTACTACAGTTCGTCTATCGACTTTTGGCTGGTTTTTGCTATTTTGAACTTGATGTCGGAACGACCAAGTTCGATGAAAGTGATTCCTCTTTTGTGACCAGCTATTCGTAGGAACTTGATATAGATCTGCTGGAACCATTTCCGTGCCGTTGGTCTCGAGAGGATTGACTCCCATCTTGCACGGCATGCTGAACGGAACGGAATCTGTAAACGAGAGCCATTCGTCACTCAGGTAGGAATTTCAATTCGAAGTTCCTGTAAGCATTTACCTGCACGAGTTTCATTTGTTGACTCGGATGAAATGTGATCACGGGCCTCATGCCTATTAAATCAGGAGCCGGGTCTGCGACTCCACAACGCATGACAGAATGCTCTGCAGAAATATGCTATGTCTAGTGCTGGGCGAGGCAAGTCCTTGCAAATTTAGTCAATACGTATGCAGAACGATGCATTCTGCCGTATTTGACTGTAGTATTGTAAACTCGTAGGTAGTCGTCCATTCGCATGCAACTTGACGTATCGATATACATGTCTATGCTCATCATCCATAGTTTTGTCAATCCCTTCCTCTCACGGTCCCGAAAGGAAAGTCAAAAAGCCGCAAATCAATCTGAAGTACAACGAGCTTCTTCTCTTCTATGGACAGGCAATATATGCAAGATCTAAAAACGTTTGTAACCGTTATAAAGTCCCGAGCTTCTGGTCACTTGGAGTATTGGACTGCATGCAACCTTGAATTCTCTAGTCTGCTTGGCTGCTTGGCAAAAGTGGACTGCATAGCGTACTTGCCGCTTTAGGAAACAACCACTTTTTCATCTTGTGGCGGCTTCTGCTATCAAACAATGATGAGTATCTACAGAAAATGAGTGAATACCATTCTCTATGCATCTTTGTAGATAATGGCAACAATAGCCGACGTTAAACTAGACGGGCCCGCTAGGTGTGTCTTGTGATTAGTCATGGGTTTTGAGTAGCCGCTTAGCCGACAACCCTAGATTTGACGACAACGCGTGTCATGAAGTCATTCACGCCTTTCTTTCCTTACCCCTTTTCTTTAGAGTACAGTGCAGCGAAACAATGAATCGTCCATCTCGTACAGACGAACCCTACGAAGGGGAGGGCTACAACCAGAGCCCGAATGAACTGTCCAATGACTTGACCACCAACCAAGACCTCAACGGCATCGTCAACGCCAGGGCCCTAGAGCCAGGGGAGGATGGCAAGGGCCTATCGCTGGCGGGGGAATCCGAGACGGGCGACGGGGATATATCGCGGTCCTATGACGATGTGGATTGGGGC